TGCCCCCCAGTCTATTCGCAAACAGTAGTCATTCAAGAGGTGTTTGTCGGTTACCTGCTGTGTGCCAGACTCCGTGCTGGGGCTGGGGGTGCACCATGAACAAGGCAAGACCTCTACCTTAATGGAGCTTACAATCCGTTGGAGGGGCTAGGCCATCCAAGAGTCACTCAAATAAATACACAATTAAAGATCATCAGTTCTGTGCAAGAGGGTCCCAGGATATCAGAGCCTATAGCAAGGAGTCAGGCTGTATCCAGGGAGATCATGGAGGGCTTCCCGGAGGAAGTGACATGTAAGCTGAGACCTGCCAGTGAGTGGGCCATAATAAGAGAAGAGCGTGGGTCAGGGAACAGTATGTGGGAAGGAGCCACGGTGGGAGTAGTGAGGTGGTGGCAGGGACTGACCAGGGGCAGTAGGGACGGAGTGGCTCTCAACGAGGCGGAGAAGTCCCCACGGGCAGACCACACAGCATCTGTAGAGCAGGGAGAGGGGTCTGGTCTTCAGGGAATAGATACGCCATGGGCACTGTGCGGACACGTAATTAGCTCCTTTTGGCAGGGCAGAGGGGCAAGAATCCATGTTGGACACGTATTTAAAATAAAGGGCGATAGCTCATGGCTGTAAGTGGTCATAAAGTGAGAACTGCAGGAGGTTCCATGCCATCACAAACGAAGAAAAGCCAGGGACCATAAAAGAAAGGGTAACTCAGACCCAGTGGGTTTAATCGAGGAAGGCTGCCAGGACGTCACCCCAGTCTCAGCCTCCTCCGCTCATCTCCCTGTAACCCTCCCTGTGACCCCTTTCCTCTCTGCTTCCCCAGACTCTGGTCGGGGAGGCTGGAGGAGAGCTCATTGACTATCCACTGGGGCGACCAGCCACGACTCCCAGACAAAAGATGCCAGAATTACCCCCCATGGGTGACAACACCAACTCCCAACTGGCCATTTCTGCCAACTTCCTGGGCTCAGTGTTGGCCCTCCTGCAGAAGCAGGGGGCACTGGATATCGACATCACCGACGGCATGGTGAGTCATGGTCCCATCCGGAGGTGGGCTGGGCTGGGCAGCAAACAGCTCCCCGTTGGTCCTGTCTAGTCCCCACAGCCTTGGGCAAATTGCTTTCAAGTGAGAACAGTAAGCAGATAGTGCGCCCCTGACTCATTTCCCACTCACGGGCATGTATTGGTTATATCAGTGTTTACCAAAGCACGGTGACTGAGATGATTTTAGGCGATTCGTAGACGTGGCATTAAAGAACATCAAATCATATGATGATGATCTCTATTCAGTTCTATTTAATTTTATGACACTCCTTCTTTAAAATCATAGTGTATATTCTTACATACGTATCTCAATATAAATGCTTAGGATCCTTTTACTTGGTAAACATTGGTATTAAATAACTAAAAGATACATAAGAATAAGGTATGCTCCAGAATGATTTTCTTTCCAAACGTTTTCTTCTAAAAATGTCAAGCCTTCAGAAAAGTTACAAAATAACACAATCGGTGCCCAAATATCCTTCACCTAGATTCACCAGTTAATATTTTGCCATATTTGCTTCATGTCTACGGATCCATCCATCTGCTCACCCACTGATCTACCCACCTACTCATCTGTGCTTCCTCCTCCCTCCCTTCCTCCCTCCCTCCCTCCCTTCCTCCCCTCTTTCCTCCCTCCCTTCCTCCCTTCCTCCCTTCCTCCCTCCTTTCCTTCCTCCCTCCCTTCCTTCTTTCCTTCCTTCCTTCCTTCCATCATTCCATTCATCCACCTATCTAACCTATCAGCAACCTAGCCAGCTATTGTTGAACAATTTAAGTTTTTAGAAACATGACATCCCACTCCATAAATTTGTGTGTGTCTCCTAAGAACAAGCTATTCTCCAAAAAACCACCGTATGAATTACGTCCATCTTGATTCCACCAAGAAGTCCCCATTTGGTGCTAGTATACAGTTAATCCTCTCTTGTACTTTTAAGTGTCCTCTTTGTAACTCAGAGAGAACAGGACTCACCCCCTCAAAGCCAACAAGATCCATGGAGAATATAATGGCATTGTTTCATTTTTATTGCGTTTACTTTCACAGTTGCCATTTCTTTCTGTCAAATGGTACTGACTTTTCATTTTTTAGTATTTGAGGTTTTCAAAAGCAGATCTTTGGATATGGCAGAATTATGCATTTAGTGGACACTGGGTTATGCACATGGACTCACCGATGTTCACCTTGTTTTGATAAAGAATTAGATTTAGGCGCGCCTGGGTGGCTCAGTCGGTTAAGCATCTGACTCTCGGTTTTGACTCAGGTCATGATCTCACGATTTGTGGGTTCAAGGCCCACGTGGGGCTCCAAGCTGGCGGGCAGTGTCTGCTTAGGATTCTCTCTCCTTCTCTTTCTGCCTCTTTCTCTCTCTCTCTCTCTGAATGAATGAATGAATAAATAAATAAATGAATGAATAAATAAATAAATAAATAAATCAACAAAAAAAAGTTAAGAATTACATCTAGAGGAGAAAGAGTCAGGTCTTTTCTTACCTCCTGCCCCATAAAGTCATGCCTATAGTAAGCTTAAGTGGCTGGCCCTGTCCCCTTAACCACAAAACGGCTGCCGTGATCAGTATGTGGGTTGCCATTGGACAGGCAGGACCTCCCAAGGGGTCTTTGAAGGGAAGAAGATGCCCCTGCTGGTTGCCTGAGGGTGTGTAGGGGTTTAAGCACTGTGTTAGCAACTCCTGTCTGTCCCTGCAGCCTCAGGGACTCACATGCCCCTTCTTGCCCTGCAGTTTGAAGAACTTCCTCCTCTCACCACGTCCACGCTGGGAGCTCTGATTCCCAAGGTACGTAAAGCAGACACGTCCCCTTGTCTTCAGCCCTCCCCTCCTTCTAGGTGTCCCGGGAACTGGGTCAGAAGAGGAGACACCCACAACCAGGGTAGGGTGATCCGAGTGCATTGACAAAGGTGTGGTGTCCAAATCCCCATGCCAGGAGGGCATGGAGGGTTGAGGTGGAAAGACCCTGAGCTGTAGCAGTGGACTGGTCTGCACCTTTCTAATCCTCATCTGGCTACTTCATCGCTGTGTGTCTTCAAGCAAGAGTCTTAACATCTCTGAGCCTTGGCTTCCTCATCGGTAAAAAAAGGATGCGAGCTCCTACTCCACACCTTCGTCTAGGAGAGTGAAGGAGATGAAGGTGATGGTTCACGTAAAGATGCTGATACGCACAGGTGCATGGTGGCTCAGATGGGAGGAGCCAGATTTTTGGAGCAAACATGAACTTGAATTCCAGCTAAGCATGTCTCAACCATACTACCATAGGCAAATGACGTCTCTCTGAGCCTCCGTTTTCTCCTCTGGGAAATGGGGCTAACAATGCCCACTTCACCATGTGGCTGTGAACCTGGGAGTTGAACATAAGCACAGAGTAGGCATTTGATAAATGTTCACTATTATTGTTCTTGTTCATAATAACAAAATCGTTTTTTGTTTTTTTTTTTTTTTAAAGGGCAAGTGTGTTTTTGTCAGATTATTAGCTATATACGGTTGGAACAAAGGCCTTTCCGATCCCAGTTCTTGTCCCAGCATTGGTCCAAAACCTGTTAGCCTGCACCTGGCAGGAGAGAGCTTCTTACACAGTAAGCGCTATGCAGGTACAACGGATTGCTGTAACCTACGACCATTTTAGACATTTTTCATCTCTTTTCTACCTGTTATGCTCCTGGTTCGACTTCAGAAGCAGGAAAGGAGACCTAAGTCAACAAATGATCACTATCGCCCTCATGCGGTTGGAAGCTGAATGGCATAGCACCATTATCTGAGGTCAAAAACAGCGGCAGGTCCCAGGGGCAGGTAGAGTTCTATCAAATGGACCTTTTATTTACTGGACCACTTCTGTGTCCACTGCACTTTACAGTTTATGAAAAAAATTTAAGAATCCCCTATTTTATTTGGTTTTAATCATCCCCCGCATTCATGGAGCTGGAAAAGGGGAGCAATCCATTTCACAGACAGGGAAACAGAGGCTCAGAGAAGTCACACAACATGGCAAAGGCTGTGCTGGCACAAAGACTCAGACCTTGAAATGGGACTCTGGGTCTGCAGCAGCGGAGATTCAGGCTAGACACGGGAGAGTGTCCCCCGGAGATCCAGGCTTAATCAGAGCTGGGGTGTGCATCCTGGGTCTCCTGCTGCTGTGGGGAGAGTTTGAGGTAACCTCTCCGCGTCCGTGTGAAGGAAGGTGTTGCTAATTATTGGAGACCGTGTATGTTGGGGTTGGCTCCTCCAGGTATCCCCAAAATCCCCTTGTGAAAAGCCAGTTACCAAATTATTGATTTGTTGAAAGCCAATTTGCCAAAGGGTGAATTCGCTCAGTGGTCATTTGGCTAAATCTACTAGATTCACCAACAGATCAAGAGTTTGTTTAAAAGAATTTCACCTTGGGGCGCCTGGGCGGCTCAGTCGAATGCGGTTAATTAAGCATCTGACTCTTGATTTTGGCTCAGGTCATGATCTCTCCGTTCGTGAGTTTGAGCCCTGCCTCGGGCTCTGTGCTGAAAGCATGGAGCCTGCTTGGGATTCTCTCTCCCTCCCTCTCTGTCTCCTCCTCCCCCGCTTGTGCTCTCTCAAAATAAATAAATAAACTTTACAAAAACTTTTTAAAAATAAGTAAGAATAAATAAAAGAATTTCACCTTGACAATGTGTTCAAGAACATGAGTAGAATCTTCTTAGTTCCAGGATCCACACTGCTGCATTGCCTGTGGAGAAGTTTCCATTTACATGGATTTCTTTTTAAAGTAACTTTGTAGTTTTTCCCATATAGTTAAATTCTTTTAATATATATTTTAAAAAAATTTTTAATATTTAGTTTTGAAGAAGAGAGAGACAGAGCGTGAGTGGGGGAGGGGCAGAGAGAGAGGGAGACACAGAATCCGAAGCAGGCTCCAGGCTCCGAGCCGTCAGCCCAGAGCCCGACGTGGGGCTCGAACTCACAAACCACAAGATCATGACCTGAGCTGAAGTCGGGCACCTAACCGACTGAGCCACCCAGGCGCCCCCATTTAGTATATTTAAGAAAAGTGCTCCTTCGGGGGATCTGGCTGGCTCAGTCAGAAGAGCATGCAACTCTTCATCTTGGGGGTCATGAATGTGAGCCCCACACTGGGTGTAGAGATTAAAGTCTTTTTTAAAAAAAAGAAAGAAGAAAGAAGAATATGCCTTAAAATAAAGTTTTTGGTAAAGCAGTAATTCAGCACATATGGGAACTGACTTTTTGATGAACCGTCCCTTTAGCTCATTAGCTTTTGGGGAGTCCATTCACAGCAAACAGGCTCAGATTCCTCCCACCTGGGGGGCTCCAGAGACCCCTGCAAACCCAGGTAGGCTGTGCCTTGCTCTGAGTTTTCACTGTGAGGTGCCCCAAAATACAAACTTTCTCATTCCAGGTGGGGTGTCCAGAGGCAGCAAGAGGGGAGATGGGCCCTGGGCTTCTGAGTGACACAGCCCTGGGCTGCCATCTCAGCTCGCCTGCTGACTTTGGACAATTTGCTTGAACCTCAGTTTTTTAATTCTGTCACACGGAGAAAAAAAATACCCTATGGATTTGTTGTAATGATTCGATGCAACCGTGAATGTCTGGACAAACCCATCTTGCTCAGTCGCAAATTCTGAGCATTTCCATGCATCGGACGTTGAGCTCGAGGCTTTGCCGGCACCCCCACATTTAATTCTCGTAGCAACGCCCTGTGAGGGGCTCGGAGAGGGCAGCCCCCTCCCCAAACGCGGCAGCAGGTGAGAGCCCTCACGTGCATGCAGGGCTCAGGCATTGCTGCAGGTGCCCAGGGTGACACCCTGTGCCGTGTGTTTAGAGTTGGCTGCTGACCCCGCTACCCAGGGCCCCACTCACTCTGGCCTGGTGTCCCCCCCGCAAGGTGTTCCAGCAGTACCCCGAGTCCCGCCCACTCACCATCAGGATCCAGGTACCGAACCCGCCTTCAGTGACGCTGCAGAAGGACAAGGCACTGGTGAGGGTGTTCGCCACCTCCGAGGTCATGGTCTCCCAGCCCAATGACGTTGAGACCACCATCTGCCTCATCGATGTGGTGAGTATCAGTGGGGGGGGGGCGCCGAGTGGTCTTCCGGAGTCCCCAGACCCCCTCAGATCCCCACAAAACCAACCGTAGTGACTATAAGCCCAACTTGGGGCCAGATGATCTGATTCAAATTCAACCTTTAGCACTTTTAGCTATGTGAGCTTGGATGCGTCTCTCTCTCTTTCTCTCTCTCTCTCTGCCTCTCTTGCGTTACTTGGTTTGTAGCCTTAACCTGACACCATAAAATGCATTTGTTAGTTTATTTCTGGACAGAGATGTAATTTGTCTTATTCACTACAGCATCCTTAGCCTAGCCACAGAGTGCTACACATAGTAGGTGCTCAGTAAAGCACCTATTTGTTGAAGCAATGTGCTGTGTTAAGTGCCATTTCCCCCTTGGTGCTTAAAGCTTAAGATTCAGACACTTAGGGTTCTGCCCCATCTGCTATGTCTTCTCAGTCTTTCCTCCCAGGGCTCAAGACCAAATGAGCCACTTCTAATCCGGGAAGTGGGTATTCTCAGCTAGACCATGCCAAGCCATGGTGTATTGGGGGTCCTTTCTGGGCATCATCAGATGTCAGATTCAAAGGGCTGGTTCTCACCCAGGGGGTGGACATGGCTGTGCCTGATTCAGTCCCCTGTTGATCAGCCCCTGCTGTGTGGAAATTTTTCCATCAATAGCCTAAATGTCTGTATGATCCAGCTCAGAGTCCTGCCATGGCTCTCCAGTGCCTCCAGGATGCAGCCTTGATTTTTCTGGCCCTGCCCGATCTGGCCCCTTCCCACTCAGTCTCCTGCAGCCCTCTTACCTCCTTGCTCTCCGGCTTTCTCTCTTCCATCTAACGCCATCCTCTTTCCTGCCCCAGGGCTTTGGCACATACCCTTCCCACTGCCTGGATCACTCTCACACCTTCTTTTTCATCTGGCCGAGTGAACGTTACTGGGGCCTCGGCCGGACCGTAAAAGGAGGTTTGGCCAAAACCTCGGGGAACAGCCTGTGTTACGCTGAGTGCTGACGCAGCGCCCAGCCAGCGCCTGGTGCACAGAGCGCTCCCAGTGGCGACACTTCGTTCTCATCCCTCTTTCCTCCAGGACACAGAACTCTTGGCCATGTTTTCCGTGGAGGGGGATAAGCTGATGATCGACGCCAAGCTGGACAAGTAAGGGGGTTGCAGACTCGGGCCCCTGCTGCTCAGAAAGGCCTCCTTGGTGCTGCCGTGCCTGGTGCCGGCTCCTGAAGGGACATCTGGGAGGTCACCAGAGGTCCCCCAGCATGGCTGTCAGGGCTGGGTAAATCCAAGAGGCTGCAAAGGTGAAAATGGGCTGGGACCGCCAAGGCCACTGGCGCGAGCTGGGCAGTGGGGGTGATGCCGCGAGCTTGCTAGAAGGAACCTACTGCCGACAACAACTACCATATCAGTAATAATGAGGACGGCCGTGATGATGATGGGCCAGGCTTTGCACTAGGTATTTATGTGCATTCTCTTGTTCAGCCTTGCAATGGCCCTGGGCATCTCCCATCTTAAAAAGGAGACAACTAGGGCTTAGAGAGGCGGGTTGCCTTACTCAGGCCCACACAGCAGGTCCAGAGAGGGGCTCTGGGCCAGCCCAGGTCTGTCTGAGCTGGAGCTGCATCGCGTGGTTACAAGTGCAGGCTTTGGAGCCAGGCCATATGAGCTCAGATCCTAACGTGACCACTGACAGGCTCTGTGACAGAGGCCAAGTGACTTTGCCTCTCTGAAACTCAGCTTTCTCATCTGAAAATGGGGATAATAGTCCCTACCTCATAGGACTCATAATAACACTACGTGCCAGGCATTCAGCTAAGCCCTGAATGTGTCTCAATTCATTTCATTCTTGACCTCAGCCTATGGCAGTAAGTACTATTCTCATTCCCACTTCAAGATAAGTGAGACTGTGTGTAAAATTGTCAGCGTGTGCCTCGTTCATTATCACTTTTTCTTCTTAGGACAGTTGATCAAGCCCAACAATGGGAATTACTCAAAATAAGACATGACTCAGAGCCATCCAAGAGTTTCTAAGGAGGTGATGCCCGACCTAAGTCCTGGATGATGAGAAGGGGCCAGTGGGGGCTTGGGGGCAGCCAGAGCAGTGCAGGCAAACTTTAAAGGTCAGGAAAAAGCTGCGGTGTTGTGGATGGAGGGGCTGAGGGAAAAGGAGGGAAGGGAGTGGAAGTCGGCAGTAAAACACTGGTTTCTGTCCTGCTGGATGCCCTACGGCCCCAATGGCTTTGCCCCATGCGTGAGTCTGGTCTGGCCGCAGGTAGGGCTGTGGGTTTGCAGGTAAGATTCGAGTGCAGTGAGACTGAGACCCTCATAGCACAGACAGGGACCTCAAACCCAGGCCTCGAGCCTCCCTCCTCAGAATAGCCCAGCAGCCAAAAACGCACCTCAGGGCAGAGTCCTGGGCCTCCCCTCTGAGCTCTGTGGCCATGGCCAGTTACCCCGGGAGCCTCAGGTTACTCCCAGACGGGGTTGTCGGAAGGATCCGGCGAGGTAGGGATGATTGCTTATGTGTGCACGGCACGCACTATGTACCAGGCATGGGCTTGACTTGGATGATTCCTTTAGTCCTTGCAGCCACTCACTTTGCAGACAAGGAAACTGAGGCATAGAGAGGGTAAGTACTTTGGCCAAGGACATACAGCCAGTAGGGGTCACAGTTATGATTTGAGCCTTATGTACAGACAGTCCCTCCTTATCCGCAGGGGATACGTTCCAAGACCCCCAGCAGATGCCTGAAAGTGTAGACGGTACCAAACCCCACCTCTACTGGGTCTGGGTCTTCCTGTACAAATGTACCTGTGATAACGTTCCATTTATAAACTAGGCCCGGTAAGAGATTAACAACAACCATAATAAAAGAGGACAATTATAACAACACCCCATAATAAAATTTACGTCTCTCTTTCTCAAAATACTGTGCTGTACTCACCCGCCTTCTGGTGATGATGCGAGACGATAAAATGCCTAGGTGCCGAGATGAATGAAGCCGGGTGAATGATGTAGGCACTGTGATGTAGCATTAGGCTACCACTGACCTTCCGGCAGCACACCAGAAGGGGGATCATCTCTTCCAGACTGCAGCTGAGTGCGGGTCACTGAGACCACGGAAAACAAAACCTCCACTAAGGGGCTCCTGTGTAGAGTATAAAAGCCTCCGCGTCACGTCTAATACATAGTTGGTGCTCAATACGCGGAGATCAACGTCGTTCTTACTGACTGCCCCCCGGGTCAAGCAAGGTCTTTGTGAGGATGTTCGAGGAGGGGCTTTCGATAGTTTATGGGAATATAAACCCCTTATGATTCTCAGGCAATCACCACTTCTAACAGGCCGTTGCTTTATTGGCAGGACTCACCTCAACCTCAGAACCTCAAACGTAGGCAACTTTGATGTAAGTACTAAGCGCAAGCTCAAGGGCAAGATATTCTGGGAACGGTGTCCCCACGTGGCTAGCTGGGGCCGAGGGAGTCTATGAATTCCAAAACATTGGCACCATCTCTGCGAGGCCTCCTTTACAGGTGGGGAAACTGAGGCCCCCAAAGCCAGTGAGGGGCAGAGTACAGACTCACGGCTCCAACTCTGCCAATGAGGCTGTCCCATTTTAATGGTTTTTATTTTTTATTTTTGAGAAAGAGAGAGAGAGAGCACCAGTGGGGAGGGGCAGAGAGAGGGAGACACAGATTCCGAAGCAGGCTCCAGGCTCCGAGTGTCAGCACAGAGCCCGACGCTCGAACTCATGAACCGCGAGATCATGACCTGAGTCGAAGTCGGACGCCCAACCGACTAAGCCACCCAGGCGCCCCAAGGCTGTCCCATTTTAAACCACCTGCTCCCATGGAGGCAACCTGGCCCAAATCCCTCTGCTCTGAAGCGGGGGGGGCGGTAGGGACAGCCACATCCCAGGACCCCTTCCTTTCTGGATCTGGAGGCTTGGCTTTGCCACTGACTCCTATGTGACTTTCAGCAATACCAACCCACTCTGAGCCTCAGTTTCCTCATCTGTAAAGCAAACAGTTCCGGATATGTTTCTAACCACACCTTTACCACCACGTTCTGAAATTCTGCCTTTCTAACCGGAGAAGCTCAGATTCTAGGGGTGGGTCCTGTTTCATCTGTTTATTCTTGGGTCCCCCCACACCACCAAGAGTCTCCAGAAATGCCCCTCTTCTCTTTTACAAATTGACAACAGATGTTTGCTTTCTAGAACAGTCGTGGTGAGACTTCCATGTGCACAGAGACAGTCAAATACCTACCGTGTTGCCTATTTTTGGGTTTTTCCACCCCCAGCCTCCACAACCCATGTTGCTGGATTTTATAGCCGCATTTTATAGATGGAGAAGCTGGGGCCCAGGGCTGGGCAGCGACGTGCCTCACAGCTGCCTGGGGCACAGCTGGGACCAGAACTGGCATCTCTGGACTCCGAGAAGAAAAGAAGCTCGCACAGTGTGAAATTAGAGACTATTTCTGGGGCCACAGAGACTGGCACCAAATTAAGCTTCTTTTTTTTTTTTTTTTTTTTTTTTTTTTTTAACCAAATTTCTCTCGTTTAATCCTCACAACAAACTTATGATTTGGGTAGAGCTATTAGCCCGTTTTCCAGATAAGGCAGCCCAATGCAGAGAAGCTGGGGGGCTTGCCCAAGGTCACG